AATTGTTTGAATACAAAATCCCCCTCAATCATTGTACGAAGCATAAATATTGAATTACACACTCTTCGTGGGATCGACCCTTACTTCCATTACTACATTAGTTTTAGAGGTTTAAGGACTATTTTAGGTGCTGACGACAGCACACCACCCTACCACCCGCAGGCAAATGGTCAGGCCAAACTATTAACAAAACTACTAAGTATTCTATGAAGAAGAAGGTTGATACCTTGAAAGGATCCTTAGGTCGATAAACTTGACAATTTTGTAGAAAACTGCACTACTGGCCATATGGCTACAGGTGAAACCCTGTTTTCTCTGAGCTACGGTGGCAAGGCTATGGTACCGATGGAGATTAGAACTCTCTTTCCACGACGTATCTTACATAATGAGGTGTTGAACGATAAGGTGAGGCAGAGCGAACTCGACCTTTTGGACGAAGATAGGGATCATTCTTATGAGAAGTTCGCCAGTTATTAAAAAATTCCAGATACTAACATGCAAGGGTAAGGATAATTTTTTTTTGGATCAACGACCTTGTGCTCAGAGGGGTCCAAATTGGGATGGGCCATACTGAATTACATCCGACATCCGAGGCTAACCTAAAACATACAATATTGAGGATCTAGAAGGTTTCGAATAGCCTCATTCCTAGAATGTTCATCACTTGCGGAGATATTATTAGTAACTTCAACACAGATCAACTACTTATTCAAGTGTACTCTTAGACTCGTCAGTTTATCACCGACTAGATATCAATTATATTTCTCATCTCCACGACTCATCATAATTGATCGATTGTTGGTCATATTATTTCAGCTCGACAATTTATCATAGGTGTGGGTTGTACTTGTTGAATCAACAATTTATCATCATTGTTTTATTATCATTTAATTCGATATTTAACTTATTGCTTTATTGTTAGGCCTATGTTTGGCCCCATTTTTCCAAAATACATTTTCAATAAGACACTCTCCTATAAAATAATTTTACATTTAAATCCAAAATTTTTCCTTAATAAAATCCTATACCAGAATGCATTTTGGCCCAAATATGGGGCTCAAACTAGGGCTAGGTATCCTTTGGACTCGACAAATACTTTTTCCCACAGAGGATTGATTCAAATTAATCAATTGCACACTAGAAAGTGAAATTAACAGTTATATACGAAATTGATTAAATTGGGGGGGGGGGGCTTGGTTCTTTGAACTTAGGAAAGCAATAAATTCAAAAATAAAAAAGATTTGAATTTTGAAGTAAACAAAGTAATTTTTTATTAAATATGTGAAAATGTGATCAAATGGTATTTCGTTACCACGAGAATGATTTTCCTATCAATTACCACAACGGATTTTCGTTCTCTAGATTTACAACAATTCGAGAATAATTACAAACTCAATTATTTCAATATCTTCTTGCATGTTAGTTGAATAAAACAAGCTATTTAATCAACCATATTCATTAAACAACCTAAAACAAGTTCTCCAGATTTAATTTAACAAAAGCATTACAACAAAAGAGATGAGTTGAATAAAGGGTAAACTCACAAACTCGGTTTACTCACTTAAGTTTTAATCTACATACAATCAATTGAAAATTCTTCATAATCTATTGAAATGTAATTGCTACAATGTTTTAGAATAAATAGATATTACGTACTATATATCCCAAAATAGCATTTATTGAAACAACTCAATCATTTAGTTGTACACCTAAACAATCAAGAAAAACAAAATAAACATTTAAAACAATGGATTAAACACATCAGTCAAGAGAACTATAAAGCACAAAATAATTGAAAATCATCACTCGGGTTTGAAATCACCCCAATCACCAATATGTTTAGTTATCCATGAAATACTCAAAAACTAAAGACAAATTCTTACAACACATTAATGGAAAATAGATTAAAGAAAAGAAAAACTTATTGATAAAGAGAGAAATGGTTGAGAGTTTTTAAAATCAATGGATATTCTTTTCCAAGCTATTTTACAATCACATGCTCCAATCTTACCCCCAAAATACCAAAGAAAATCAAAGGAAAAAGAAGAAAGAAGGAAGAAAAAAATGAAAAAGAAAAGGAAAAAACAAAAAGAGGAACACAACTTCATTTTCAAAACAGGGGCTGCAGTTTTTTTATTTAAAACCTAATGCCTAAATTGCAACCCGAGCCCCCAACTTTTGAAAAGATAATAAAAATGGTCTCCAAACTCTGGAATTTATGTATCTTTAGTTCTTTTTGCTCATTTCTCACGTAAATTCCTTCTAATCATCATTAAAACTTGGATTTTCACCTACACAATAAAAATAACTGAATTAAGTAATAAATTGCTAATGAAAACTCACAAATATCTAAATTTAATAGTAAGAATAAGTGCAAAAAATCGCACTTATCAACCACCGAGGCTCAAGCTGAGCAAAAGATGCCATAGATACCGATGCTTACTCCAAGCAACAAAAAAGCACAAAACCCTAACACTTGACTAAAAGCATGATTGGAGACTCCGAACAACCTCCAATTAAGGGTCTCGAATGGCTTCAGTTGTTGATGAAAACCTTAATGCAGTAAAACCCATGCATGTATACATGGATTATTGGACAAACATCGCAAAGCACAAATCTCAACAAACCTCGAAAAGTGACATAAATAATAAATTTCAACATAATAATAAGAGAATGCCAACTCATAAAAATCACTAAAATTCCCCTAAAATGCATATAAATAAGGCCATTGCATAATGGAAAAAGGGTTGATAAACATCTCTCTAAAGTTCTACTTTACATAATGTCTCGGATCAAAAAAGCATTCACGGTCGAACTTCTCAAAATTATAAACACTATCTCCGAACGAGAAGCACTTTCTAGCCAAAATAATGCCGAAATCTCCATCTTTCACTTTTAATACGAAAATTGCATCCCAAAATCCCCAAAAAGAGGGAAAATCCTGCCAAAATTCAGGCTGAAGACAGACTGTTGATTTTAAAAAATAGTTTTCCTTTTTTCTCGTCAGTAAGTAGCAAATTTCTCGAAATGTGTAAATAATAATGAGTAATAATTATAAATGAATTATTAAAATTAATGCTTGACTTTGATTAAATTTATAAATCGATTCATAAATTATATCGAAAGGAAGACTTAGCGCCTGTTTGACACCAATTTTGGAGAAAAAATAAATTCTGTGATTGATGGAAGAATGTGTGGTTAAAAAATAATGATAATTTTTGGGTTTATGTGTAGTATTATTTTATTGATAGAATGTGTGGTTGAAATGAAGAAAGAGAGAAAAAATGAGAATGAGAATGAGAAAAATGAGTGTCAAACAGGGGCTAATTGTGGAGCTATTTTTGTCTTCAAGTGGAACTGGTCGAAAGAATGCAACTCTTCTTTATTAATAGTGTGTATGGTGCTGCTCTCCGCCTCTAGTTATGAATGATGACATTTCTTATCTCTGTGAATTTAAAGCAACACAAATTTTGACTAATTTGTACAAACAAAACTCCTCAAGGTTAGACTGTTACTAACTGGATGAGTTCGATCCTCTTGTGGGGTGTTTTTAAATGAATATTGATGTGGTGTTGCTAGTGACTGGTAATGGATATGGGGTTTGTGGTGGTGTTCGAGACCTCGATAGTATGGTTTATTACAAGCTACTCAAAGTTATGTTTCGTTATTTTTTAGGGTCTTCGTTTTGCAGTGAATCGAACGGTGTAAATGTGCCTTTCCTAAGTCGGAGTGGGTTGGGGAATTCCCTTTCGTTACGGAATTTTATCGACCATTGTCGTATCAAATATTTCTACTTACTAACTAAAAAAAGTTTTCTAAGGTCATAAATCAAAATTTATCTTCATTTTTCGAAAGTCGCTTTCTTTCTCCTACTCCACTATAATGGAATAGAAAAGGATTACGATATCATTATGATGTTTGCATTTGGTTTCAATCCTGAGAATGGATGTATGTGTTGTCAAAGTATATCTCATCATGTCATTCATTGTTATTTAATCAAAATCTTAGTACTATTTGCACGCGTTAGCTTCTAAGTATTTTTTTTTTTCTCAAGCTTGGTCGATAATTATTTTTTATTTTATTTTACTCATATTTAAAGATTTTTTTTTTCCTTTCAAATCTTTAATGTTTATTCATTTTTTATTATGGGTTAGTAAATGTTGTGTATAGTGTAATTTTTGTAAATTAATAACTTCTATTATATAATTAAAAAATTCAATAACAGCCTTATAATACATTATTTCAATTTTCAAGGACAATTTCATGGAAGAAAATTACCTACTTGTTAATCAAACTCAAGTTTCTAATTGAATTCTGCATCATTTAATAATATGCTAAATATTATTAAATAGCCCATCTAAATATGCCCAACATTCTTGTCACGGTTGCTATAGAGATGAGCACTCGCACAATAGTCATCTTTGCCACAAGGACTAAACGTCTTGTCGTAGTCAATTCCATACTGTTGTGAGAGCACGAGCAATCGCACCCAAATGTACGTATAGTAGAGTAAAAGAGTTCAGCCAACTCATGAATTTTCAAGAAAAAAACTTTATTTCTGTGTACATGTGCAGAATTTGCTAGAGAATACACACCATTTAAGAGAAAGAAGTAGATAAATTTTACACAATAATAATTATGATAATCTCATTAAAGAAAAGAAACTAAAACACATAAAATTTTGAAAATAATAAAACAAATCATTTTCTCATCCTCACCCTAAGCTCTAAAAGGGCACCAACAATGAACAATGTGACAAGCACAACAGCAAAACCTGCATTCCACCCAGTTCCAGCGTCGCCTAAATGAATCCCATAGAACACATTCACTGCTGCCAAAAATATTAGAACCCTTCCTACACTGAAATGGTACCAATTCCAGTATTTTCTAACCTTTGACTCCTTGTTCGGTCTAGCCAAGAATGCGATAACCTGTTACATACAAATGATAACCCGTGTCATATAATCATCGGTTACACTAGATGATTTAATTCGAAAAGTCAAGAATCACTCCGAGTATATGTAAAAAAATCTAGAATTTTAAAAATCCTTTAAAATACCTAAAACCCGTTCATCCAATCTCACACTCGGCTAGCTCAACCTAAACCTGACTGATTCTCGACCAAACTCGGCTAGCTCAATCTTCGACTCTTGACCCATTATCTTTTTCGTGTTAATTCTCAGGTTGATAAATAAGAAGAAAAATGAAAAAGACGAACCTGGAGGCAACCAAGTGTAAGAATGAAGATGCCAAGGCCTTTGTGCTTATTAACATTTGCTCCGAGACGATCCTCTAAGACGAGTCCACAAATTACACCAGCAACTCCAAGTATGAATCCAAATGATTGGATTATTGAATGAGAATAAAACCAGATTGGGTCCCACTGCCTCATGTACCTAGCTACCAATGCACCAATTGGCAATAAAATGCCCCATCCAAGCATGTTTAAGATCCCATGGCTTCTCTTCAGACTAGCATCTGGATTTTCTTTTTGAAATTGACCTTTTACCACAAAAATTTAGACAAAAAAAAAAAAAAAATCGTTCAATTGTGTCGTATAAATGTCAATTTTATTAAGAGACGAATTCAATAATATTTTCAATACATCGAGTAACTTCTCACATAAATTCTTCTTTTTTAATTATGTATATATTTATCGTATTCAACGTTGCATAGTTCAACATACCAAGCATTCCTTAATTAAACTATGTTGAGGATGGAGTTACTTTGGCATTTAAACTTATAGGAAAACTATTATGAAAGTAAGACTCAACGATTTTAAATATTTTAAGTGGACTTGACCGTTGTTAAAGTTGTAAATAAGAGATTCAGATCTAATTCAAGTATAAAATCGAAGTCTTATCAGATCATTGACTACGATTTGGATCTCACTTGAAGGAGTTAAGGGTGAATTTTAGTTGTAAATAAAATTTTAAGCAAATTTCTTAACTTATAATTGAGTCTCCATTGGATTCCCCAAAAATAATTATTTAATTCAATCCAGACCTAGTCCTAATATATTCAAGAGGACATTATTTGGGTGCAATAATTAAGGATTGACATTACTTTACTCGTAAGATCCGAGGTTGAAAAATATTTTTTCTTCTTCTAATAATTATTAGATGTTTGATTGGACAACCTTAAGTTGAACTACTTGATTGTATTTCAATCTATCCTTAACTTAGATACAATGAGAACTCAAACAAATCTAAATTACATAAAAATAAAAAGGAGAAGAAATGAGTTTAAGAGGGTGTTTGGTGAAGTGATTTTTAGTAGATTGTGATAGAAATTTTTGAAATGTGCGGTTGAAAATTTGTGGGACCCATGAAAGATGTGACTATTACTGATAGTTTGACTTTGACTTGGATTAAAATCAGATTTTAATCCGAACCAAACATGGGCTAAATGAGGGCGATAGGTGAAGTAATCCTATTATTGGTGTGTATATACAAAATAGATTATAATGAACAAGTAACAATGTTGCCTTTGAAGTCAAATAAGTTATAAATTACTTATAAGTTAGTTAGCCGGCCATAAACTAACATCTTTAATCTACCAAAATGAGTTGACAAGTAGCTGTCATGGCCCCCGTCACATGCTACAATGATCTATCATTCTTTATATAATAGTCATATATTCAAACGAAAATTTCAATAAATTATAACTAGTGGCATATTGTTCACCTTTGATTCATTTTGTATTGTATTAAAATTTGTATTTGAAATTCAAAATGCCAGTTCAAGCATATACTCGATGAGATCGTGAGAAAATATTTGTTTACTTTGTTATTATGTTGAAATCAACTTATTTTAGAACTTGAGCTATTAAGAATGAGCAAATTTATTACTTATTTTATCTTAAAGTTGAAAATTACGAGTCCAAATGGTATTGGATGGGCAATGAACAACTACCACCACTATCATGATGAATGAGACACTCCCTAATGACCTCAAATCTTACCTAAACTTCCTATAGCTCCTTAACCACTAAAGTCAAACAATGATACCTCGTGTGCACCGTTGGATGACGACTTTGTTGACATCATGCTGAACAACAACTTCTTTTTCAATCAACAATTCCTTGCCAGTTCATACATTGTCAACAATGTTGTCATCCAACATTGTACAAATAGTTTAATCCAAAGTCAAATATCAAACTTTTATTAGCAAGAACAAAAAATTTGCTTGTTGCTGATCTAACCTGTGGCATAATTCAAACGAGTAGAGATCTGATCCCGATGTTGCATCAAGGCGAAGTTTGGGGCGGAGGGGAGGCGATTCTGTTGCCCGACCGAGTATATCAACTGCTTCTGCGGTGCATCGACGATCAACTGAAATGCCATGTAAATTTGATTCGATTGAACGTTCATGGATGAATTCCCCAATTTTAAGTTTCCTTCTTTGACGACGATCACTTGATCCGGTGATTGGGCTCCTAAATAGTACATTTTCATATCGGAAGTACCATCTGATTGAACCCACCCGACTAATGCACTTGACCCCACCATCTTGCCATTGGGTGAAAACCCTATCCCAATGTATGCATTAGAGTTGGGTGCTGATAGCAGAAAGTTCCACACATTTGTTGATTCTTGTTTATACTGAAATAACAAATTGTACAAAATTATTAAAATTCATCGTAAAAATGACGGTTACTTGGTGCGCTCTTTCTGATGTTCGACCTCTAAATTGCTTGAGCCGACTCTAACATGTGCTTATAAAACGATCCTAATATAAAGGGCTTGAGTCGACTATCGTGTATGCATATAAAACCGTCGTAATTACAAGTGATGATGGAACTTACTCTGAGAATGAAAAGTTGAGAAGGCCAGACTGAGACACATTGAAGAGAGGTTGTATCAAAGGGAACAGACCCTTCGAGGCTGAGGGGAGAATTGCATGAATCTTGTGAATTTGCAGATCCCAAAAACAAACCTAAAAACAAGAAGAAGAAAGGACTGAAAATGAAGGATTCTTTCATCTCTCTCTCTCTCTCTGAGGAAAATTGTTTGTATGTATGATCAAATCAACTACATAAAGAGGAGTGGTTGAGGGAGTTAGGAAATAGGCAATTGACAAGTTCAAGAGAGAATATGTAATGTATATAATATGGCATAGTATGATGAATTTCTTTTCATTTCTTGATGGCTATGTCATGGCTGATATGGTGAACTTGGAACATGTCCACATTGGGTGAATGAGTTAACAAACTTAATTATATATATTCTAAAATAATTGATTGGAATAAAATAATTTGGTAAATTTCAAGTAATAGATTATTAGTTTACTCAAATAATTACTAATGGTTTAGAAAACCAACTTTACTTCCAATTTTGAATTTTCATAAAATTGTGTATCATAAACATAAAATGTTGAATATCTAATAATTTAAAATTTTTAGACGAAGTAATTCAATTTATTAGTATCAAATTAGGCTAAGGTCATGCTGACATATGTAAGGCAGGCAAAGATTGGCCTAGCAGTTTTAATTTTTTAATTTTTCTTGCTTCTTCTATCAGAATTAAAAATTAAAAATTAAAATAATAATAGGCCGGCCAACCCTATCTTGTGCCTATATGGCTTGACCAATCCAATTTACCAGTTGACGCCAGAAAGGGTTCAAGTTCAAGATAAAATCATCTATTTATGAAAATTATACATATAAGGTTTTTAATGAAATTATGAATTCGATTTATACACATACGAGAAAGCATGTCAAAAATATATACATAGATAAACTACTTTCTTCGTGCACAAATATATAGACTATAAACCACATGATAAATGATAGAATGTAAACATAGAAAGAATTATTCAATTTAATATGCCATCATCAACGATGATACATGAACATCTTCATTTACATATTCTTTTACAGTTAATCATTAAATTTTACAATGTTTTTCCGCCAATCAAAACTTGTCAATACTGACAATGTCAACAATCATGTCAAGAAAGAAATGTACAAGTGATATTTTGTTGCAACTTGAGGTTAGTTTAGTCTTGAGGTTTTGTAGAGTTGACAATGAAGTAGCCGGCCTACATTTCTGTTGGGTTCTTCGCCATCCAACAAATTCGTTTACAAATAAAATAGAACACAAAATATCTGTAATTGGAGAATTCAAAATAACTTTACTCCTTTATTGCACGCACAAAGTGTACACTTTGATTGACACCTCCATATGTGTCAAAAATCTGGCCATTGATTGAAAAATAAATTATCAAAATCAATGTATCAAAATCCGTCAACTCACATGAAGGTAAACTATAATTGTGTCAACATTTATGTACATATAGCATGGTCCTTCTTCAAAAGGATTAAATTACTTGTACACGCAAAGTGTACACTTTGATTGCACCTCCATGTGTGTCAAAAATCTGACAATTGATTGAAAAATATATTATTAAGATCAATGTATCAAAATATGTCAACTCACATAAGTGTAAACTAATGTATCAAGCTTTATGTATTTATAGCGTGGTCATTTTCAAGAATTCATTTTTTTAAAACCTATTTTCAACCACACATTTTCCCATAAAATAATTTTTTCCTTATTTAACCACACATTCTTAAAAATAAATAAATTTTGAATAAAAATGGGGATCAAACAATGGCATATATAAAAACAGAGTATAAAAATCTATATTCATTAGATAAATGTTATTTTTTAAAAAGAAAAAATTCAAAAAATTATAATTACTATACCGATAGGATTTGTTCAAGAATTAGTTGGTCCATTAGGGGGAAAAAGGTAGCATTAACTTCGGTTTTAATAATTTCATTCATTATTATTCCAACGACATATTCTTACTCATATTAAGTATTCGTTTGATATGATTTCCACTTAATTTTACTTTTACTTCTTTTGTGAAAGAGCTTTCTCGGAAAGCTACGTTGAGTCTGCTTCATTTAGAAGTTCATCTAGTAAGACAAAACAGTTTTAAATAATTATTGAAAAAGGTTCAAAAACAATTTTTAAAATTTAGAAACAGTTTTTGACGTTTCAAGAACTCTGCCAAATGGACCCAAAATGATAAATTATCGAACAAGAAATCTAATCGGCACAATGAAGAAGTAATTGAAATTTTCTACTAAAGATATGTTTCGTACATGGATGTAGTACGCATATATGTAAAATTTATCTGTATTTATAGTATTGTCTAGTTCTATACAAATTCAATTATTGAATGAGTGACATAAGTGGATAATAATCTATTTCTTAAAACAAAATTAAAGTTCCTCTATATTTAGGGGATAATGACATATTACTAAACAATTCATTTATTGAACGAGAGATGTAAGAGGATAATAATGTATTTCTTAAAACAAAATTAAAATTTCTATCCTCAGATAATATTTTGAGTTCAATTCGAAAATTTAGATATAAGGATTGAGAGCATACAATTTGTAGATCTAATCAAAACTCAGGGAGGTGAAAATCTATCATAAAATTGTAATACGGTTGATATGAGTAACTGTTTTAACTTATAAGTGAAAAATAACTTGTTCTTGAAAAGAATTATTATAAAACCTCACTCTTCCAAACAAAATTTTATCTTTCAATGGGAAAATCCAAAATAATAATGATCCTCAAAACAGTTTTCGCTATTACGTTTTTTCCTCTCCAATCTTCTATACAGAACATTATCCCCAACCTTCTCCTTTTAACGCATAGTTGATTCCATAGGACGATTTTTGTCCAGAGGACGGCAATGGATGCAAACTAGTTGTGATCGCCTATTGATCGTTAGTTGAGTTCCAAAAATTCAACTAGCGCTCATCAGCTCACGAATCTGACTCGCCATAGGTCATTGTGATTGCAGCTAATGCTGCCCATATTTGATTTGAATAAAAATTAAATTTCAGTAAATTTTGATAAAAAATTAATATAATATATTTTTTAAAAAATTGATAAAATATGTAAATTCCATAAAATAATTGAAAATGAATTAAGAAAAAATGAGTTTAAAAAAATTAAGACCAGACAGGGAATAATGACACCTGCCGGCACGTACCATCAAATGACAACTGCTGCCAAATCAGATTCAAACGGCTGCCTGAATTTGAAATTAAAATTTTCTTTTATAAGATGTTAAACATAAAATAGAAATTATGAGCTTGCAATCGTACTTAGCTTGCCCCACTAAAGGCAAGCCAGTCCCTAAAAATTTACAAGCAAACTAACTCGCGCACAGCTCGGCTCGCTTGGTGGGTCAACTGAGCCTCTGAGCCCAGAGGTGGACGAACCAAACCAACTCGGCTCGATCAATTGCAATGGCTTATTCTTATTTTTCACAAAGGTATAAAAGGCAAACACTTATAGTTTTAATTAAATCTAAATGAAAAAGAAATATAAAAGAGAGGGAAAATAAAATAAACATAAGCCCCTATTTGAGCCACATTAAAATTTTCATTTTCATTCTTCTACTCATTTTTAACGATACATTCTTCAATAAAATAATATTTTCCATCACATCAATAATTTTTCATTCTTTTTCAACTACACATCTTTCATCAATCTCTTATTCCAAATACATTCCTCCAAAATAATATGGCTCAAACACACTCTTCCCCCACAAAGATATATACAGTTCTGTATACAAGATATACAGAGTATGTACTTTAAGTCCAATCTATCACACATGCCACTATTATGCATAGGACACAAGTTAAATAAATTTACATTTTCTAGTCTTCTTTAGATAGCAAACCCTTAACTCTGCCCTTACAATTATTTACAGAATAAATAAACAGTCCTATACTCTTGATTACCTTAACATGATACACAATCAATCTCTAAGTGAAATTAAGTAGCTCAAAGAAAAGCCAAAAATATCAAGTAATTAAACATCTCTGACAATTTAAAAAAAAAAAAGGAGGCTTCAACCAATGGAGTTGGTAGAAAATTTCAGCTGCACTGTAGCTGACTATCCAGTTTATTTTGCTATAAATTTATTAGAAGGAACAGAACCAGAAGCATGATTCAGCGAGTCTGCAAAAGATTCCCCTCAAGATTTCTTTGTCAAGGATGTTCTTGGAAGGATGGAGTTGGCGAGATCTTCATTCAGCTTGACAGGTAGCGGTGGCATCTGCTTCATTAATTCCGGCATGTCATTTAAGCTGCATTCAAATAATTCAGTTGCATTTTGGAATTATCTGAGTCTGTTATATAATTAACACATGATGATTTGTTATAAATGCTTGAGTCCAAGAGAAGTTATTGTGGTCTACTCGAGCTTCATGTGTGGAGCTTTATAAATTTAAATATCCACAATCTAACCTTCATAACATGTAACATTTACTTTGTGTCACAGAACTGTTAGTTTTGGAAGGGCATACATATGGGTTGGATGAGGGAGAGGGGGATGGGTTCATTCTTATGCTCGCACATTATTATTTCAACCTTCAAATGCAAAAATAGGCACGGACATTCATTTCTGAAGACAGTTAAGACTACAGATTAGCATTCTTGTTGAGATTAGAACTCAATAATTAAATATATTTATGATCAAATCAAATACGCAGCAATTCCACTTCTTTTCTTTTTGGAATTTTTCATTTTGGCAGTTTTCATTTATTCTGCTCTTTAGTTGGGGAGAGACGGGGACACGTTTCACAGTTTAGGGAGGTGTCCCAAATGTAATATCTAGGGAGAAGGAGATAATTTCTTATGGAGGACTACTCTATGGTTTTCGAACTACAGGAATTAAAATCTGAAAGCTGGTGGCATCTGTTTCCTTTTCTGCATTTATTGAAATTTATTCTTCCAAGAAACTGATCGAAACCAAAATAAAAGAAAACATCCACTCCTCATCAAATCCCTGAAAGTCATACATCCACAGAGACAACAAGCTCAGTAATATTAGTCACAACTATTATAATATATCCTTCCGAATATGTTTTACAGGACTCAGAAGATCGCCCTTTTAAGATGCTAAAAGAGCTTTCCATGACCATAGATTAATAACATAGCTAAGACTACGTTGTTCTTGGATTCAATAGTCATGTTTCTGTTTTTCTATCTACACCAAGTCAGCAACAAACTAAACCTCGTTCCCGTCGGCTTCAGTTTTTATGTTTGGGAAATGTTTATACAAGGTTTAAAATATAAAGATAAAAATGAGCACTTGCCGGTCTCTTGAAAAGTGTGGATAAAACTTAAGTGTTTATAAAAACATAAATAAGAGCTAGGCAATTTTATAAACTGATTTGCATAGACAAAACATGTTTGATATTGACTTTTTTTAGGTTTTACATTAATTACTTCCTCTCTACAGCCTTGACCAATAACATTGCAGTTGGAACTCTTTTCTTGCCTTATCAATGAAATGTTTGAAATTTGAAAATGAAGACCAAAAAGAATCTTAATATGTTGACCATTGATAACAGGCAAATTATTTATGAAGACCAAATCAGGAAAAACACATTTAAAAATAAATGGAAAAACTAATGAAAATAAGTATGGAAATCAATGAATGCATCTATGCTCTACAAAAGATCCACATATGCCAGACAGGGACACTTGAACATATAAATGTAGAGTGTATTTAACGTACTCGCTTAAGATAGCCAGGATATTGTTTCGAGCTTGACAGAAGAGATTGATGTTCTCATTTATCTGCATGTAAACAATAAGAAAAGTAAACATAAATATCATGAATCACTGCTAAGGAAGAAGCTTCCCAGCTATGTTTGATACTTTGATGAGGCAGAGATATTAGGGCATATATAATATGGCTATTAATTAAGCCCCCGTTTGGTGGGGATTAAAATCAGATTTTTAGTAGATTTTGATAAAAGTCAATAAAATGTGTGCTTGAAAAGTTGTGTCCCACGAAATATGTGGTTAAAATTAATTGTTAACTTTAATTCATATTAAAATTTGGATTTTAATTTCTACGGAGCAAAATGTACACACAAACAGGAGATAAATAAGAAATCCATGTTTCCATAAATATCTTAATAAGATGCATATTCACAAACTCATATTTATAATGCAGTAGTATCCCTTAATTTCCTAAGTCAGAAAATTTAAACAATCCTTCACCGAGTTCAATATTCAGATCAAGTCATCATTTGACAAAATCCAACAACAATATTCATTAGTCCAGACGCTTAAACAACAAGTAATATGCAATCAGCAATAATTATTGTCCACAAAAATCAAAAACAAAGTGAGTTGTTTGGATGTCCTACCATATAATGTTAATCCACCTTATAATTCAAGTTTAACTTATAATACACCAGACAACTGGTGCATCTACATGATATTTGGGGTCCAATTGTTCCCTCCCAAAAAATATAAAGCCAGGTAAATTGCTAAAAATGGATTCTCATCAATTGTTAAAGAGCGACAAATTAAGCCCCTGTTGGCCTCCATTTTCTAGAACTCAATTTCCCCAAATTTATTTTTAACCACATATTTCGTGGGACTCGTAAATTTGATCAACTTTTCAACCACACATTTCATCAATTTTTATCAAAATCTACTAAAAATATGATTTTTAGCTAAACCAAACAAGATCTAAATAAGACATCTTTAAGCAACGAAAAAATGAAGATATTCGTCACTTTGTCATTATTCACCGAGATTCGCATAGGGTTCACATCCTTACAATTTCTAATTGATAGATGTATCTTTTGAAAAAAGTTAGATATTAAAAATTAAAAAAAAAATAACTATTATAGATCACCTTGAAAGCAGCAAAGTTTGCAGAAATTTGATCCAGGGCTTGAGCACTTTGCTCAAGAAGCTGTCCAGTTGCTCCACCAATGGCTGCAATTCATAGAAACTTTATGTACTCTTCATTTTTTAATAGCTTTTTCAGTAGTTTGCAAATAAAATAAATATTAAAGGGGTAAAAACGAAAAATGTCTCAAGAAAAAGAATTGTGGACTGCACCTTTACTTCGTGCATAAACAACTCAAGTAAAAGTTCAGAATAGACCAGCAGAGGTTCTGGAAAGGATATTATATGAGATAATTACATTTTAATTGCATTTTTGCTTTCATGGATAAACTAAGTGTGGCTACAAGCAACATGATGACGTAATTGGATAGTCCTGGTGAGAATGAATTTCTTTCCCATTTGAGGCCAATAAAATTAATCAACTAGGTTGTCAAATTTACACGCTTGGTGAAAGCACTTTCAGTTTCAAGTTAATGTTTAACATCTACTGTAAAATATATATTATTACAGTTCTATCTTTTTTACTTGGACTTCAACATGATAATTGTGCTTAGAATATTGTGTCTCTGGGGAAAAAGGATTAAACCAGGACTAGTTCTATATAGATCTGTGTTCCTTATGCATCAGTTTTCTTGGGATATTTGGATGCTGACTGGTCTTAAAGAAGTTCTTTAGCCTATGGCAACCTAGTTGGGCACTTCATTCGAATTCCTTTATAGAAAAATCATTTTAAGAGTTAAATGCATTTATAACGATCTGTGAGTATCTAAAATTAGAGACAAATCAGAATCTTGTGAAAGAAAGAGGTTTACTAGAGTCATACTTAGGCCATTATTCAAGAGTGATTTTCTACCAATTGCAATGCAGAAAAATGATAATGATTTTTCATTTAGCTATATGCATTTTTTTTTTTTAAATTCACACTGAGTTTTTATTTCATGCCTAATAACGTAAAACTGACGCATTATATGGAATGCCAATTATTTTGCTTGAGAATGAAAAATTAAAAGCTAATTATCCCATATAATATCCTTTTCAACTGTTCGAGATCATTAAAATAGCAACATCCTCTTTGCATGGGCAGGGGTGTTGAAATACCTTTTAAATGCATAGAGAGGGAAAGAGTATTGAGAATAACAAAATTTAGACCCCAGATTATCAAGTAGAAGGTGCAATCATAGGAAATGTCAAGAGAAAGCCACATGTCATTACTGATAAAAATAATATTTACTTTCTAAAAGATTCTAGAATAGGAACTATGAGATTATTGTTTTGACAAATCAAGCACAAACGGGTAGTAAGATTGATCCACAAGATCCTCTCAAAGCCACTGGGGTGAGTATTCGGCCGTAAACTTCAGGACTCTGTGGGATTAGTCGAGGTGCGCGAAAGTTAGCCCGGACATCCACGGTTATCAAAAAAAAGATTGATCCACAAGAAGAAGTTCAACAAACTCTTGAAATTGTTTAAGACGATTTGGCAAAAGCTTAAGCAAAAAGAAATAAATGAAGCATAATTCAAAGTTGATGGGTGCGTATGGACCAACCTTTATACGAAATTCCATCATCATTATCCATTGAAATCGCTGATTGAGCATACGGAGGGACATTGGAGCGGTTTGCAACTTGCGATGATTTTGTCAAAGAATCTGTAGCTTTTTCCTGAGGATCCCAAACAATGAAAATAGAAATTATTTAATGGGAAAATCTTCTTAAATCAGAAATGACCAAAAACAAAATATTAGAGTTATCACTCTGTTTCCAAGCACCATGGCTATGGGGTTATACAATCAGAACACCATACTAACAGAACAGGTTAGAGAGATTGATGGGTGCAAATGCATGCAGCACTATTTATACTGAAGATTCTTTTGTGTGTTTACTTTTTCTGAGGATAAGATCAAATGAAGGAGGGTGGGCCTATTTGAGAGCTAAAAAGTTCAATGGCGTAGTTATCCAAACAGAAATACATTAAATAGCATCCTATTCATTGCTCTCAAGGATGTTCTCGTGCTTACCAACGACATAATCAAGTTATATGGATCAATAAGTAAATAAACGAAACCAAACAGGACTTACAGAAGAGTTGGAACGTTATAACCACCTTCACACCAGAATAATAATTTTCATTTTAAGAAATAGGCCACACAGCATGTGAATAAGTGTCCTACTGAGGGGGGGATCAAGGATTCCGAACTGTTTTTTGGTAATTAAGCAAAAACAGTACCAAGATAAGCTATGAAACACCGACACGGACACGCGATTTTTCAAAAAAAGTACTGACACGACACGTCATTGACTAAATTCTTTAAAATTCTTCATTTATAAAGTATAAAAGTAGTTTTATACTTGTTATTAATTTTTTCGTCAAAATCTTTTAAATATAAGTACATATTTGTTATTTAATAATAACTTTGCGTTAAAAATATATAATATTTTTTATAAGAAAAAATTACTATGACAGAGTGTTCGAGGAGTGTCCGTTTCCGAAACTTGTCCGACACGTGAGATACGAACACACTACCCTAGTTGAAGTGTCTGCACTACAGAGAAGATAAGAAATTAATCAGTTATAGTATATAACAGTTATTCCCTCCTTGACAATAGATCAATGAGGGTATATCCTCAGAAGATTAAACTACCCTACCAGATATATTAGAAAAACAGATGGCCTGTAGGTAAATTTTTTTTTAAGAAATTAAAGGCCACACTATAATCCCATTCCCATATCACCTTTAACCTTGACACACTCCTTCTGGTATCAGCTTTCCATTGTATGTCGCTCAGAGTTATTGTTGTGAATTACTACCGCCTTATCATATTCATTGTTGTTATTGTGTTACTTATTAAATATCTCAAAAACACAGGTTCTTCTGTGTTTGCGCAGAAGCCTGCTTTTGGTGGCTTCGGGTCAAGTACTACTCAAACAAGTCCATTTGGAAGCTCATTTCAACAATCACAACCAGCATCTGGAAGCAATCTATTCGGTTCATCTACCCCTTTTGGAACGCCAAGTCAACCTGCATTTAGTGCCACCAGCACTCCTGCATTTGGTGCCACGAGCGCGCCATCGTTTGGTGCTACAAGTACACCTGCTTTTGGTTCTACAACAATCCCCTTTTGAACCATACCAGCTTCTACCAGGGTGGTACCACTGCACCCTTTTTCCCATTAAACTTTCAAACACAGTGACATGAAAACTGGCCACTTGTTTTGATGTGCACACAAGCTCATCTTTTGCGTTCATTCAAGGTATGAGATAGGTTGCAGTCACCTCAATCAATTGCTCTTGGTCTCCTGCAGCACTAACCTATCCAACAGAAATTTGAGTGCTATATATGCTATAATTTAACTTACAGCAGCTGTTAAAAAAATTTAAAAAATAAAATAAAATAATAATAATAATGCCTAGGAATGTTGGCTGATAAAATCAGATTTAAATGACCTAAGGGGTGCCAGTTATCATGCCTCAGCTTTGGCAACCAACCATTCACACAGGCTCAATGGACATCATAACCTCTTCTGCAGGCCACAGCAGCTTCCTTCAAGTCACGTGTTCAATCTAGAGAACCAGATCTAATTGACCTAGGAAACCTTGGGAGATACCAATCACATGACTCAGAAAGGTCATTTACTTTTATTGCAATGAAGACACTCCAAACTCATCTAATGTCCTCTTGATTCTGTTCAAGTGCTGAGATAATGTCATATATGTACTTGGCTATTTTAAATTTACAAATTGAAACAAATCAAGCTTCTTCCTCATACTGCAAACTAATAATCACTTATCCTGTTGAAAGCATTCATGAGAGACTAGAGAACACGAGCAAGTAAAACAACATCATCTCACACTCTACTATGCCTGAATTGGTCTAAGATGCAACTGTGCAGACTTACTTCAATATCAATAAAGCAATCACTCTATTAAAGTCCCTTTTCTTCATTGCCCTGTGTAGCAGGGGATTCAGGGCACAATACATACTATAAAATTACCAAGTTTAGATATAATTATAAATTCAGGGCACGATACATACTATAAAGTCACCAAGTCTAGATACTCTATCAAAACTCATATAACCAAAAATAACCACCATAAACATATGATTTCAGTTGTTCATAAGGCTCTAATACATCAAGGAAGTGAGGAAGATAAGTAAGAGACTTGTCAATCTGAATCATTATTCTCTATACAGCAGAAACTGGAAGGCCACTTCTTATTCCATGTTGACGTTATTATTAGGAGCATTAAGATGCCTAAATATATTATAGAGTTTCGTGTAGTAAAAGCAGTCAATTGAAGTGTTATAAAATACTAACATAAAATGTTAAAAGTGAGAGAGGTGACTCGTCCTTAAGCATTCACATGGATAGCTGCAGATAGATAATAACATACAAAATGTTTTAGTACCTTTTTGTCTTTACTTTTCCTTGATGAATTGTGATCGTCTTTCCTTCGCTTGCCATTTTCCTTTTTCTGCAAGCAGTGGAATGTTTAGGTCAAAATTGATGTAATTAGCTGAAAATTATAGAACGGATAGGATTTTGTGTAACTGCTAACTTCAATCTTGCTCTTATGATCCACCACTGACCAAATTTCATTTATTGATGAGCATGATGGACTTTGCTTCCAATTTTAATTCTCTGATCATATGTCTTCCATTTTTTTCAAGAATACAAAATACAACTTGTCTATAAAAATCTGCCTCTAGTATACATTAACCCTCTCGAAAGAGTGAAAATCAAACATGTGAATTGAATCTGGCATCATAAACTAGAAATTACAAACAATATCCTCTTTCTGGATAGTCTCACACTGGCCTTCAATCCTTTACTCAAAGTTAGAGCTTCGTCACCACTTTTAAACAAGGTTCGAGGACTAACAATTCATAGTTAAAACTATAATATGTTATGTAAATTTTCAATGTTACAACTACATAAATTATCAGCATTAGTTAAACGAAGAAAGAGAAGGTCATGTAAGTACAGTCTCTGTATACAAGTTCATGCAACGTTGGTGCTTCTTTGAAATTAAAACTATGAACTGAAGAGGAAATAAAAAAGGAATTGAAGTTGGTCAAGAACCACGTCAAATTCCACTGAAGAAAGAAGTGGTGATGCAGATAAACAGAGATCAAATATTTGATTCACTTCATTATGTCCTTTATTTTATCACTATATTTTATTGTTCAATTAAAGACTTTAATTAGGGGTTATTTTGACATTTTAGGTTGTTAAAGTTTTCGTGCAATTTTATTATTTAAGCTAAAACTAGGATTGATTATTAGTTGGTAGCTTTTATATATTAATAAAGCTTTTGTAGAGTTCTACAAATTTCGGTCCAAATTAGTATTTATGTGCGTCGACAATTTGTGATATTGGGATCTTTAATTCTCTTCTGCCTACGTCATTTGGTATCAAAGCTCAGCTGTCCTGAGAATGGTGAAACACTTAATGGCAGAAGTTATTTTCGTGATGAAGATGCAAAACTACAAGAGTTCCTTGTGATTAAGCTAATGAAGAGAAAATAACTGCTTCAACAACTGGTAGTGTTGAAAAAGAAAACTGATTGGCTACTACAATGGTGCGAAGGCTCAACGGTTGTAGAGTCGACAATAGTGGAGGAGGACTACAACGGTGGTGACAACCTTTTCATCCCTCTCAATCTCGAACAAAGAATGGATATAGATTCGGGCCAGGGATACAATGGCCCACCCGTTTTTGACACCGTAATCTGAAGATGTAATGAAAGAATGAGTACAAGAAGATATAGTGGAGACTATGTGGTGATGGTCAATGGGATAATGACTGCCAGAGTGGGTATCAAAGGTAATAAAATTCTAAAAGCTATAGAGGACCATTATGTCGTTAATGAAAAGATGAAGGACTATGGATGAATAAAGGAAAAGGGTTATTAATTTGCATTCATCAGAATATAGAAAAAGGATTATTGATTTGCATTCATCATTATATATGGAATGAACGTGGAAAATATTCTTCCAAATTGAGGTGCCATTATGGAATTGGTGATGATAGTTTGTAAGTAAATGTAATTGCATACTCAATTTCTTTTGCAACTCTTCATCAATATTTATTTTGGGGATAACAGCTTAATAGATTAGGGGTGGGATGTCTCCTAACAAGGAGGAGCCTAATTGCTATAGTATTTGAAAAGAATCTAATGTGACACTATGAAGAACCCTCTCTCAATGCTATGGGAATTATAGCAATATGTTTGTGTGATGTCATGAATGAGTAGCATAATTTGGTAGAGCGTGACTTATTGTCTAATTTGCAACAACATTCCATGGAGAAGGGGTCACAAATTAAAAGAATTGAAATGAATAGTTTAAATCAATCTCAATGCTTGGCGCAATAAATGGATTTCATTGCTTTATTACCAATTCGATTACCATTACAAAATGTCAGATGAGAAAATAATTCAAGATTCGTGGGTGAATCTTCGGCATCCTGGAGACGATGATCGAGATATATATAGAGATTAAATATTTGATTCACTTTATTATGTCCCTTAATTTATCACTTTGTTTCATTGTTTAATGACACACTTTATTTAGGGGTTATTTTAACATTTTAGGTTGTTACGATTTCTCGTGGAATTTTATTATTTAAGCTAAAACTAGAAGTTGATTATCAGTCGTCGTTTTTAAATATTAATTAAAATTTTGAATAGTTTTTCAAATCTGTCTAAATTGGTATTCATGCACGAGTAAACAATTTGTTATCTTACATTCTTCAATTCTCAACGCTTCCACCTACATCACGTGGTTAACTAAATCTATACCAACTGGATAGAGAGGGATAAAGAAGCATTAGTGAAATATGGGGAGATAAGTTTTTTGTCTTGGTAAAAGTCTTCTTTACACATCATTTAATAATTTCCCGTTAAAAACCTTGTTCTCAATTTATGTTGATTTTGATTTTGGACAATTATCAAATGATTTTACCTTATTTGAAAATTGGAAATATCTAGGTATCATTAATGATTACGTACTGTAGAAACAGTTTTACAAAAAGAAATATCCCATCTTCCCGTTAAAGTCCATTTGGAAATTTTGCATCCCTTACATAATTAAGGAGTTGCTATGGCTGTTTTTCACACGAAATCTAATGGCTGGTTTTTTACACGAAGCTTAATATTTGAGAACTAGTTCAAAACTCTCATGGTATATGATCTACATAAAGGACTCAGACCATATGGATAATTTGGATTACTTATAATACTGTAAGATGGCTGAGATGTAGCTTAATCAGGAGGTTTATTTTAGTTGAATTTTTTGGGTAAGTGTAATGAATTACTCCTTGAAAAGCCAAATGGCTTTGATAAGGGCGTGATGGGTGTGGTTATGTGGACTCTGGGGAATTTCGACAGAGACAAATAGGAGGATTTTTGAAGGACAGAGCCAGAAATTTCTGAATTATGTAATACAACTATATTTTGGCATCGTTACGGTTTTCTACAGGCAATGAGTTCAAGGCCATTATTTTCTCTTTCATTGTTCTTAGCTATAAATATATTTTGCATGATTGACTTCTTTTTTATTTACTTGATGTCTGAGTGTTCCTTACACCCTTGACAATTTTAATTATGCTTCTATAATTAATAATTCAAGTTTCTTATTAAAAAAATACACTTCATTCTATAAAAAAATTTACACCCAGATACCAAGTTTTACAAGCTAATCACATCCAAAAACCTTGTGGATGTGCAAGCACATCTATATAGGTTTGCATTGTACTTTTCCTTTTTCCATTTTTCTCAATTCTAAAGTACAAAGGCTGGGCCTGTCATGGAAATTATCCCCAAAATTTAAAGTACTTCTAGTTCTTCAATCCCGATCATTATTTCCAGTTAAACTTTGATTTAAAAAGAAATCAGATGCCAAAGCAATTCTGTAAGGTTATTTCTAAAAGCAAATAGTCATAACTACCAAAATGAGGAGAAAGAAAACGACAAGATAAAAGCTTACGGTCATCCATCTACAACGTAATGCCACATCCCGAACTGTCTTATCTTTTAACGCCTGAGAAATTTTAGCATACCTCACAATGGTGGTATCAGAGTTATATCTGCAAAAGGGTGCATTCAGAATTGGATCAGTGTGCAACGTCCATATCCACAATAACATAAAAGTGGCTACATGGGAAAACATTTGGAGTGGTTTTATTCTTTCTAAATTGGCAGTAAATATGTCAAATAAATGAACACTGATGTGAAATTCAGCAATTTGTCTCGGTCTGACCAAGAACATTGCTTTTCAAAGCTGATGGGAATGCGAATTAATAGATTAAAATTTTGATGAATTGAGAGCCGAACTTGAAAATGAGGCATTTCCAGCTAAACCTCAAAGCATCCACCTACTATGAGGGTACCATTCTATCACAGTTCTCATTATGTGCAAGTTGGAATCTTTATTGTCTCCATCATGGTGATATACAATTGAAATCACTACAAAATGTTGGATGTCTGAATGCTAATAATATTGTTCACTTAAGATAGAGGTATAATTGTTAGTTTGCTCATGTATTGTGTTGCACTGATATTTCTTATCTATATAAAGGATATTATGGCAAGTCTCATTTTGTCTATCTAGGAGTAGAGAGAATATAATAAAGAAGCACGACTTTCCATACAATATGTAATTCTCTTTTTTCTATGTCATTTATAGTGAAATCTTTGCTTATACAACTCAATTCATCCGATTACTACAAGAATGAACCCAATCCGGAATATGAACCATAAAAAAAAATACATATTAAACCAATCACAAGAAATCCTAAAATTGCAAGTGGCCATACTCTTACATTCAGAGTGAATCATCTGAATTGTATGTTCTTAAGTGCTTTCAATTTTCTCTATTTCGTGTTATTATTGCTCTTGGTAATACTAGAATAGGCATTAATCCATAACACAAAAATGTAGACTTCTTTATTTCCTATTTTACATGGTACAAATTAGCCAAAACCAAATATGTGGTATACCCACCACAGTATTCATCGTCCTCTGGAGACTGAAGGAACCACATACCTATTAGACTTCAAGATTTTTCTTCTTTAAGATTAAATAATGGGTTGTGCTACGTGTACATTATGGACACATTGTCCATAATGTACATGTGGCGCCCCCTATTGGGGGTCCTCACTCCCCCAATAGGTGGGGCGCTACATGTACATTATGAACACCATTATATGTACCATAATGTACGTGTAGCATTATTCTTAAATAATTATACTTCCATTTATAAATTATTTTAGAAAGAGACGCTGATGTCAAATTTCAAACAGGTGGTAAATAATCAACAATTTCGCTAGATATCCACCCAGAATCATCATCTTACACATACAAGTTCTAAAACTGATTATATCGACAGGAGAACACCCAAAGACCCAAATTCAGCACAGAAGATTTATGATGAAACTCGCCATATTCAGGCAAGTTGAAATGATAGCAAAAAATTAAAAAAAGGCCACCACCCAAACACGTAATAAATATGTTTGCCTATAGGCATGCAGTAATAACATACATTTATGCAGAATCAAAAAGAAGAAGAGGAAGAATCGGGAGCTAACTTTGTAAGTAAATTTTCGAGGGTGGACTGTTCTTCAGGGGACCAGTCGACTGACAAGCCGGGGTTGTGGCGGAGGGCAGCCTGGGTAGATCTCGCCATAGAATCCTCCTGCCCGCCGTTACCACTTCTAGCGCCACCATTCGCATTCTCCTGCCCGCCGCCGTTGATGTGGCTAGTATTATCATTATTACCGTTGCTATGACCCGCTGAAGGATTCGCACTTGCAGCCATTAATAATCTACTCTGAAATTCAGAAATTTTTCTACAAATCTACTCTGTTTATGGAAATTTCAGTAAAATTAATGGAATTGATTAAAATTTGTTCGAAATTTGGACAGAAAACGGCTGGAAATGCTAAATTTACAGAGGAAATGGAGAGATTTATATATTTATTAAAGAAATTGGATAAACATCAGGTAGAGAAAATCTGTACGGAACATGTAATTGGTTTTTAAATTTATAAATTAGGCAGCTTTTTGTGTTTTATTGGAAAGTGGCCTTTGAGGATTAGACTCTAGTAAAATAATTGAGGGCTTGGGTCGTTTTGTAAATTAAAAATTATAGTGGAGGTCCTTAACTTATTGAATTTATGTAAATGAATCCTTCACTCTTTTATACAATTAGAGCTTGGTTGTGCCCGAGAAAAAAAGAACAAAAAAAAAAAACAGTTAAACTTATTTATTTTGTCAAACATAAATTTTATAGTCATTTTTTAGACTGAAAAAACATATTTTCTTAGCTTCTAGAAAAATAACAAGATCGGATCAAGCTTTCGCCGTATGTTTGCTCATCGTTTTTCACTTAGTTAATTTTATGGTTCGAATGTAAAAAATGTTATGAATTCGCGTATAAAATTATTTTACTGAAAGAATGTGTAATCAAAAATAAATTGGAAAAAAATTTTAAAAAAAATAAAATTGTACCAACGGTGGATAACTAAAATTGATTATGTTGAGTAAATGGCCATACATTAATGAAACATTTAATTGACAAATTAACCAACATTAATGGAACATTTAATTGAATAAGAAACGTCGAAATCTATATGGCAAATCAGATATTGATGAATGATGATTTGGTTACTTGAAAGTTGCAAAGTAATATTTTTACGTTGCTGAATTTTTTAAAGAATATTTTTCTCTTTTTTTTTCAGTTGAAAATGCAATATTATCATGACATTTTGGTTGACAAATACACGACGTTATTAAAGAAAACAAATTCAAATTTCATCTATTATATTGTTTAATCATTAGTCCTATGTTGTATTGTACTGTGTACTAAACGAGAAGTTTCGATAGAATAATTTTATACACATACGTAATACGATCATCCTTGCAAATTAGTTCAAGTCATTCAAAATGTAAAACCACATCACACCCTAACCCACTATATTTCTTTCTTACCACATCAGTAACTGGAAGTTCTACCATAAGTGCATACAAGATCGTCCCATTGAAGTTTTTCTCATATTAAACATAGACCAAATGGAACATTAGATTGATAATATACTAAATTGTGAATCTTGATTAGGAGGAGTGAACATATACGAGTCTTAATAAACAAACACACTTCGAAATCGAATTCTTTGATCACTATTGGATGATTTCAAATCAAAACAAATATACAAAACAATATGTGATAAGATCGTGTTCAAAAATTTACAATTATGGCAAGTTTGATACGCTGACTAAGCAGTATTATACACTACTAAGAAATAAGTTAAAATAATCGTTCTTCAAAAAATATGTATTGGTGTTATGAAACTAATTTCTTCCACACACTATAATCGAAAGGCCCAATCGATCGAGTGCAATACAAATTACGCAGGTAGAAAGAATGTTCCATTGAATCAATCTCCATTTTCACATTCTTCAGAAGGTTGTAAAGCTCAAATCTTTATCATGATCTTTTTATAGGATGAGCTAGATGACGTAGGCAAATCGAGACCACAAAAAGCTGTTGAGTCTCCATAACCATAGCCTATGAGAACTCCACACTTGCGGCAAAGAAGTTTAGTTTTCGAACCGTAGTGGCCTCAAGAAATAGGAAGACAATTCACTTCATCAAATTGTGTAAATCGATTGAGATCAATGGAGAGAAAGGAGATGTATCATTCCTTAATGGATTTGCTATATTTGGATCCTATGCTAGAAGTTACACGATTGGAAGATGCCAAATTGAGAGGATATCCACAAGACCCACAGCTGCAATGAAACACAAAGATGTTAATTCATGAGAAGTTACACGCAAGCAGAAAACTTTTAGATATTATGACATGCTAAGCAAATAAAAGAGAATAATGTGGTGTAAATTTTTCACTTTTTCCAAAATTCTATGTTTATTTTTAGGGGTAGGGGTGGATGGACAAAACTGCCAAGAAAGATTAGAAGTCGCACATGATACAACACTAGGAAGAGACTACGGTCGTTCAAGGCACATAATAGTATAGTAATGTAAGGACGTTTGGCTAGGTTCAACACATCAATATGATTATGCCCCTTCTTGACTCCATTGGGAAACGTGTTTTGGAATAGTGACTTTTTTGAGAATGTGCGGTCAAAATAGGAAAATTTTGCGTTTACATCTAAAATTATTTTATAAGATAATGTTAGAATTCGGGTGTGACCCTAATTACTTGTTGAAATAATTGAAGAATTCCAATTGAAGTGTACGTCAAAAGGAATTCAGTTTGAATGCTATTAGAGTCTTATTCAAATTGAAATTCTATTTGGAAGCTATATTGGGAGTTTGGCTTGGAAAGGACTTTGAGATGAAGAAAATAACTTAAAGAAAAAAAAGGAAGGATAGAATGCCCGGTGCCGCAGCGCAGGGGTGTTTTGCCATGATCTCCGGGCGTTGCGTGACCTGTTTGTTTCGGATTTTTTCATTTTTCTCTCCTTTTTCATTTTGAACTCGATTTTTTGCATCATACTTCATCAACAACTCTACTAGGAGAGTATGGATGTCCCCTACTTCTGTACAATTTTATAGGGTGAGAAAAATGATTATAGTGTTTAGGATCATTGTTTGTGGTGCAATAAAATCTCCTATTTCCTGTGCCATATTTTCTTGTTTTCTTTTATTCAATTGTTTATTATCAAATACTTCATTATTGTGTTATATAATTTCTAAATCTCAATTCGGTGGTTGGTTTCATATCAAGTTGTATCGAGTAATACGTGATCATTGAATTCCTAACAACTGGTATCAGATATTCTTGGTATAATTAACACAATAGGTGGTATCAGAGTTTAGGTTCAGCTGTTCCGCAAGAGTGCGTGGTTTAATTTGTTCGAGATTTTTGTTCGTTATGATTCCATGAAGTATGACATTTCGCTTTTAGATCGGAGCACTAGATTTTCGCTATGGCAGGTTAAGATGCATACAGTACTCGCACAGTAGGATTTGGATGATGCGTTGCTAGAAATTGACAAGATACCCGCAACTTTGACAGTGGGGGAGAAATTACGGAAAGATAAGAAGGCAGTTTCTCACATTTATCTTCATCTATAGAATACCATTTTTCAAGACGTTTTAAAGGAGGGTTCAGCAGCTGTTTTATGGTTGAAGTTGGAGCAATTGTGCATGACTAAAAATCGAACAAGCAAGTTGTATTTCAAGCAGCGTTTATACTCTCATGGCAGAAGGAGGATCATTGGAAGGTCACATGGCTATGTTTAAAAAGATAGTTGCTGATTTGGAAATTTTGTAAGTATGATGAAAAAGATTTGGCATTGATCTTATTGTGTTTGTTGACCGTTTCATTTTCTTCATTTAAAAACACAATCTTGTATAGTTGTGACACTCTAACCATAGAGGAGGTGTATGATACTTTGTTTTTAAAAGAGAAGATGAAGCATCTGGTTTCTCATGTCAGAGATGGAGAATGCCTGATTGTTCATGGTGATTTTGGAAGGGGTAGATCGAAGTCTAAGTTTAGTATTCAGATTTGTAATTACTACAAAAAGAAGGAGCACGTGAAGAATGATTGCTCCAAATTGAAGAATAAAGAAAAGTTGGCAGCATGTCGATATGGGAAGCAATTGGAGACTTCAGGTAAAGCAGACCTCACAAAGAACATTGTAAGTGAGAGCGATCTATTGGCTATTTCTGACATCAAGTGTAAACCAAGGAAGATTAGATTATAGATTCAGCGCGTGTGTTTTATATGTGTCTTAATAAAGGACTTGTTTACTACATATGAAACAGTTTCCAAGGTGTCGTGGTTATGGGAAACAACACACGTTGTCGGGTTGCTGGAATTGGTACGATCAGATTAAAGCTATTAGATGGGACAATTAGAACACTTGGCCATGTTCAATATATTTCAGATTTGAAGAAAAACCTGATTTCGTTGTCTATCCTTGATTCAAAGGGTTATAATTTTTTGGTGGAGTTGGAGTTTTAAATGTTTGTAAAAGTGCCCAAGTTGTATTTGATGGACAGAAAATGTCTCACTTATACATCTTATAGGTTCATGCATAATCTAGAAAAGTCAATCAGGTTGGTGCCATTGTGGACATTCATTTTGATACAATACTTTTAGGAGCTCATAAAGGGTCAGATTTGAAGAATATAGCTCACTGAAGTTCAGGAGAAATGGATAATGCCACTTTGCTACCATCACCCGCGGTGCCATTATATTCAATTGCTAAGGATGAACCCAGGAAAAAAGGTATGTGGTTGCTGATTTGTTGAGCATACTTTCGGTGTAGCAGAAAGTATACAATCTAGCAATTGGCCTTCTTTAAAAGTATTTGAGTTTGATTCTGTTTTAGGGTGTGTTACAGGTCAATTTGGTGAATTAGAAAATCATTATGATTTTTTTGGAATTTAAGATAATTTTGCAGAGAAGTGCTTGAAAACCCAAGATTAACTAACCAATAGGGGGTGAATTGGTTATTAAAACTTTTTTGTTAATCACTCAAGATTTTAATATAATAAACACACAAATGTACAAAATAATCTAAACACAATTAAACACGTAAGTGAAACAATGTAGATTTGCGTGAAATAAATGCGTTAAGTAAAAGGGATAAAGAGTGTAAACAATATGTTGTGGAGGTTCGATCAAATGCAATGACCTAAGTCCCCCGTTACCAAGCTCTTTGACATGAGCATTACCTTTTTCACTATGTTGATTGACTTATGATGCAATCCAACCCTTTACAACTATTCCGGTGACTTACAACCAAGGAGCACCAATCCTTTTACGACGTTGAGCTTTTCGA